GATATCAAAAAAGTACTCCAGAGTGTTGTTCAGCATGGGGGTGAGTAGAAAATGAAGGCTAATCGTGTTTTGGGTGTACTATTCCTTTAACAACTGGGGTCACTGACATGTATTTACCATTCTTGTTTAATCTCTCTTTAGCTGGTTTTACAGAGCATTGGGTCAAGCCTGCTAAACGTCAATCCCCAAAACACACCAGTCATAGACCAGAAGATTTTATTCTTTTTAAAACACCGTCTACTGTTAGAGTCCCACACTAATGTAGCTCAGATTATTACAACAAAGTATCATAAAGAAAACTTAAATACACTTCAAGTTTGAATCCCTTTTTATTGCAATGGAACTTTATAATCCACAGTTTTACTGGTGATCAATGTGTATCAGCAGTTTTTACTGACTTATATTATAAAAGTTGAATGAATTAAAACCTGAAAACTATTCACCATAGTAAAATAAACGGAGATCGATGGATTTCACTCAGTCAGCTCTTTATTTTCATGTCTTTGCAAAGGGAGAACAGTTCATCATTCAGCCCTTATGGCACAGTATTCAGTCCCGTTCTGCCTGGGCAGTGTTCGTTCCCCCTTACTTACAACAATGGAAAGCAGTCAGAGTAAAAAAAATTCCAACATTTTGGTTAACAGAAACATGTTATGAATAAACCTTGAGAAAGAATCTGGCTTGTTTTGGGAAGAAGCTATGTCTGGTCTAGAAACACACTCACACAGGAGAAATGTGTGGCCTTGCAGGTGAAACAGACTGATTGAAATCTTTTATAGTGAGTAAATAGGATAAATTAATATATGAAATAAAAGAAATTAAATTTTCCGACCACACAGCAAAGAGAGGGGAATGGAGAAAGAGTATTAGAGGGGTACAGAGCTATGGTTAAGAGTTAGAATAAGAGATGCTCTTTAAAAAGGTTGGTCTTTAGGAGTTTCCTAAAAATAGAAAGGGACGCCGCTGTTCTTGTAGCGCTTGGTAGGTCAGTCCACCAGTTTGGAACAACCCATGAAAAAAGTCTGGATTGTCCTAAGCTTGGTGTAGGCACTGCTAGACCACAATCAATTGCTGACTGGAGTGACCAAGTTGTGACATAAGCCTTTGCTAGAGGGTTCAAGTAGACAGGAGCCATACTCTGAAGCACTTTGTAGGCTAGCACCAGGGACTTGAACTTGATGCGGGCAGCCAGAGGTAACCAGTGCGGCTCAAACAGAGGGATGACATGAGACTTTTCAGGCTGATTGAAGACCAGACGCGCCACCGCGTTCTGACATCATTTATGGAATATTTCGAACATTAATGGTGAAAACCTTTTTTTTATTTATTTTTTTCTATTATCATTTTCTGCTTTCAAGCATTAAATAAAGTAAACCTTTAATGCTTTGTGACATTTTTATCTCTTCATGTAAACTGTACATGCTGGGACAAGGACTGAAACTTTGGCCCGATCCAAATATAGCCATTCTGAGCCCATAGCTCCTCTTCTTTCAAACTTTTGCAGGGGTCAACAGTAAAAATACTTTGCTTGGTATGAGAGGGAGTCTGAATCTACACACCCTCTTATATACTGGTATATGTCATCACGTGATAAAGATTAGTATAAAACTTTTTACCACATAAAGGATTGTTTTAACTTTAACATCCACCTCATTTTGGGTAATCCTCGCCCATTTTGCATACCAAAATGGAAAAGCAAATAACTTAGGAACTGTAAGCCCCAGATTACATGTGAAGTACATTATTTGAAAGCTAACACCCTCTATTTTCTAATATATAAATTAAAATTGGGAGACTAGAACACAGACCAACCTGCATCAGTACAAACATGACTCAAAGTTGGGGTTTTTTATTCTCGGAAATGATAGGTCTTTTTTGAACGGCAGTAATAAAGACATTCTTTAGAAAAGGCAGGTTTTATTGTATTATATTTGTTCTACATCATGTCAACCACAAATGCAGAAAATTTCAGACATCTAGCTATAACAGTTCTAGAGCTGTGGGGCTTTTACCTTTTGGTGTCAGCTTGGAGCTGTGCCCAATGGCTCCACCTGCTGGTAAAAATTTTACCGGTGGAGTTTTATGCATTCCCCCCTTGTTTAAGAGGCTAAAATGGAAAAATTTGGTGCAGTTTTATTTAAATAGACTGCCTAATATTGTTAATTGTCTAGTATTAATTAAATTTCTTGAATTAGAAAACTATCAACATAAAGCATCCAGCTTCTTTTCCCTGTCTCATTCCTTACTGTCTGCACTTTTCAAACAGCCTTTCTCTACTCCCCGATGTGCTGTATTCAGATTGAGCCTATTTATTAGTCTTTGTTAATGGGTCCACCTCCTGTAGGAAAGACAAACTGGCTCTCACACCTAACTGCACCTCTGTAAATGTCTGTATGTGTGTGTCCAGCAATGTCCATCCCAGGACTTTCTTCCCCCTGACTTCCATCTTCTGGTGTTGTCTGGGGCTCAGCGCTGCCCCGGGCTCACGGTAAAATTGCCTCTGTGACCTTTTGACCTCCCGATTAACAACTAATAACTCTGGAGTATAGCCACCTCTGCCAAATGTGATTGGGGTCAGAACTGCAGCTCCCTTGTTTAATGGCTCAGAGGTAAAACAAGGGAACGGCAAACTGGACTCCTGTCAGCAGTTTAAGGCGAACTTAATCATAAAGCTTTTGCAATGCAGCAGACCGTGCAGGGACACTGTTAACACACATAACCCCTGTTATATCCAGTCAGTGTTGTGTCCGCATTAGCTGTGTTTGCTGCTTGATGAGGGACCAGGCGCTGCGCCCTTGGTGTCCGTGTTAATATAGAGTAGTTTCTGGTTTTCTAAGCATGGGTCGTACTCTAACCTTTTCTTCCTGTCTTTCTCTACGCTTATTTTAGGAAACCCAGAAGCTGAGGGAGCAAAATGAAGACCTGAACGGCCAGATCCTCAGCCTCAGCCTGTACGAAGCCAAGAACCTGTTTGCCACACAGACCAAGGCTCAGTCTCTAGCTGCTGAGATAGACAACGCCTCCAGAGATCAGGTGAAACTTCAGTCTAGATATTATTTCTGAATACAAAGAAGATCAGCAACTCTTAAATGCACCTACTGTAATAGATTCCCATTGTTTTCCATTTATTTTTACCTGCTAGGTTGCTCTCATGCTGTAGTTGACCCTTGGTACCATTAGTGCAAATAATTTAAATCTAATTAAGTCGTGTTTTCTTAAAATTTGTGCATTTTTCCTTTATTTGAGGAGGTAAGTGAGACACTTTGCCAATGGAAAAAGACAGTTTACATTTGAATTAGAAAAAAACAATTGCATATTATTTAATTATTATTATTTAACTTATTTTAAGAGTAAAAAAAAATCTAATTCCATTGGCAAATCATCTCATTTACCTTCTCGAATTAAGGCTAATTACACTTAATTTAAGGCATTTTTGCTTACGTCAAGATTGTTTTTGCAGAATGTTACATTGAGCTCTATTTTAAACTATTCAGTAGAGCAAATAAGCTAATAATTTTTTCTTTTTATAATGGACATGTTTGTTTTTAGAGAATATGACTGTAAATCTTCATCTTAACTTGAACTCTATGGACTTTTAGGATTCATTTAAGATGCAGTAAAATGTAGCTCTTGTCATTATATATAAACCCTGCTGGTAGTAGCCATGTAAGATAATAATGGCGTTGGTAACAGGGTTATTTTATCAGTAAAAGAGTATTTAATTAATATTAAAATATCAAAAAAAAAATTTAAGTTGCTTTAATTGCAATCTAATGCCGCATGTGACTTTAACTCGATCCATCAAAGTGACTTTTCATGAGTGCAGTCTCTCTGTTGCAGGAGGGATTTTTTTCTGTGCAGCTTAGATACAGGCATCCGATTGGTCGAGGGGACGTAAAGTGGGCGGGTGTTCAGCACGCAATGGTGGTTAACACAGAGAGGAGATGAATAAGTTGATGGCAGATCTTAGACTTAGACAACTTTTATTGTCATTTTGTATACATAGAGTGTATACAAAATGAAATTTTGTTTTGTACATCTCTTATGACCTTTCCATGATTTAAAGTGCAGCAGTGATCAAATGTAAACAGTGTGGGAGAAAAAAGACATGGTGCAAAAAAACAGCCGTGCATCAGAACTAACTGGTACAAGCAGCAAAAATGAAGCAGCAGACGCGATTTTGCTGCTCTTGCTGCGTCCGGTGTGAAGGTAGCATTAGGCCCTGCCTCAGATGCGTCAGGATGCACTGCTCCTGCTGCTCTAGTTGTGTTGCAGGACCTTCTGATGCACCTTGATGCACGTCAATCGTAGACTTTGCATGTAAACCAGCTGCTTCTGCTGCTCAAAGTGTTTGCGGTGTAAACGCAGCATAAGGTTCCTAATACTGGATATTACAAAGAACATGTGCAGCATATAAATGCAGTAAAGCAGCATCCACACATCCTAAAAGAAGGCTAAGTGTGAAACAGCTTTATGTTCTGGTCAGTCAAGGTGTTTACACCAGAATATGCAGCGTATTTACACTACGTATACTGCTCCTGTTAAGGTGAAGTTTTAATTTCAGACACATATAGGCTCCTGATTGGCAATGAATAAACAGAAAACAGGACATTCTGTGTCATTTTAACTGAGCTCTCTGCTTTTCCTGTCAGCGAGCAGAAGGAAATAATTTCCTCTACTCTTTCCAGAAGATAATTCAAAACAAATTTTCATTTCTGTGCACTCAGCAGTTCTGTGTAGTTGTGACAAGCAAATAAACTAAAAAAATGTGAAATCTAATCATGTGGTCAAAGTATAGGACATTGAAACATTTCCTATAGCAGAGACTGCAGCGACTTTTAGAAAACAAATAGCATCACACATGAGATGCAAGATATTCTCTGGATCTCCAAACCTAAAGAATAAAATGAAGGGACCTTTCCTTGCCAACATCTTTAGGTAATATCTATAAATAATTGATTTGGTCATATTTAGAAGTGTTTTATGTACATGTTTCTCCACAGTTAATGGAAGCCCTGAAGGAGCAGGAGGACATCAACATATGTCTGCGGCAGTACATGGACAAGATCATTCTGTCCATCCTGGACCACAACCCCTCCATTCTGGAGATAAAGAACTAGCAGACGCTTGACACGGATGAAAATCCATCACTCTGAATCTGAGATAGTTCCAGCTATCTGCTCCGGGCATCGCTACAGGAAGAAAAAAAGATAACCGAACTCCTGTAACTGGACCTGCTTTGCCAGCTGCTGTTTGCTCAGAAGACTTTCTCTCCCCATAGACTGAAATTCAGAGCTAAATTCCAGGGATTCTTCCCAGGGAGCGAATGCTAAACAACAGACGGTTATGCAAATGTGACCATTTGTGTCATACTGCACTGTTTTCATACTCTGCTGCTTTGTTCAGTTGTTGTTGTCACAACTTTTGTTTTTTGGTAATTTTGCAAGCTGGTAGCTTCTAACCAGGAATAACCTGCTTTTAGGATTGACTCAATCAGGCAGGGGAGCACACTGGAGTTAATCTGAAGATACTAGAAAAGCCTAACAAAATCTCCCCGTCGTGGGATAATTGCTGTATTACTGACAGATGGTGGGTCAGATTTCAGAAATAAAATAGTGGCAATAAGACGGCTACCCTGAGTGAGACGGACATGAAGGCAGCCTCGTTGTTGCCTGACCTGTGTATAAGAGAGGAGTAAGAACAGAAATGAAAAGCAGCAGAAACCCAACAACAATTTCTTCTGAGATAAAAGGAGATAACTGCACAAAATAAAAAAAAAATTGGTCAAGCATGTATTATAAAAAGATTAAGAAATGAGGAAAAAGGGCTCAAAGAAAGGAAAGAATGACTGTTATTGTAAGTTAATACAAATAATGTTGAAAGGGTTGGAAAGTTTGGTCTCCACATACTGCAAAAGAAAAGTATTTTTGTGAAATCAGTGAAAGGTACTGAAGATGATTTAAAAAAAAAGAATTTTTTTTTAATCTTACCACGTCTTCCATAACTAAAGAAAAACTTTGCATCCATGTCAATCAGAATAATGGACCTTAGTTGGCTCAGAGGTGTTTGGTTGATTGATGGAAGATGTAGCCAAGGAATGTCTCTGAACTGTAGAGTAAAACCTGAGCTGGGAAACAAAAAAAAAATGATTCCCACCTGGTACCCAAGCAATGTTGCACAGGAAAGTTTTGATATGAATGTCGGGATGTGTGATGGAGTTAAGTCCAAACGATTGATTTACAAACCAGACATGAGCATGCACAGCAGACTGGATCAGCAATCTCATTACCAACTTTCTAGCTACAGATTTTACATAACGCCCTAATTTACTCCGTGCAACTAATAAACTGATGTAAATATAATGAATGTAGGACTTAATGTTTCACTTCCTGTGTGGCCAAAAGGGCATTCGTAATGTAATTCTCTTTCATTGGTTAGGACATGTTTTAACACCTATGTACAGTGTTTGGTACTGTATCAAGGAGTGATTTAAAGGGATAGCTTCTAACTTTTGAAATGAGATTCCTGGGAAAATTCTACAGGCGGCTTATCTTTCAGCTGCAGCTCTTCCTCCTCCAGACTGATCACACCCGGAGACCAGTGCTAACAGCTTTACTCCAGCGTTGTGCAGTTGCTATTTTACAAACCTTTAAATGTTTTAAATGTTTATCTTGGGCATTTTTTTGTTTGTTTGTTTAGCTGGAAAACTGAGAAAGAATCCAGCACACCACTGGGACCTTATTGTGTGAAACACAGACTGAGAACAAAATGTGTACACTAATGCATTTCTACTCTGACTAAATTACTAACTGAAATGTGGTTAAAAAACAACAACAACAACTTTATCTATTTTTTTAATAACCTTACTGTGCTTTAATTGTTTAATTCCAAGTATGTGTTTCACACTGAAAATTCAACAATGCTGCACAGGCCTTTACTTAAAACAAAGAAAAAACACACCGTTTAAAGGTTTATAAAAGCATTATCACAAATCGATTTTAAGATTTTGGTTTTATTTAAAAGGTTACTAAAATCTGACCTGAGCAGCCAGACTGATTTAAGACGTTCACAGCATATTAGTCTGGAAGGGATTGAGTAGAGCTGAATTTTAAAGTTGGGAATCAGTTTTATAACCAATCAGATAAAAATGGATGTGATGCTAAAAAGATATATTAAAAAAAAGAAAGAAATGCTCTTAAAGGTTTTGAAATTTTAAGGGCATTATTAAAACATTGCCCCATTGCAGCTGCGATCTTAACTGTTATGGTTACAGAAAAGCACTGTTGCATTATGGGCCTGCCGTCTGCGCTCTGATTGGTCTGGTCTGGTCTGTCAGTATTGAGTTACCCCAGACTGACTTACGCAGTCTGGCTGACAAGGCTATTTTTAAAAAATCGGCTGTGTTCTTGGCTATCCTGCTAGCCATTAGCCGCCAGGACCAAAATTATTATGATTTTACCACCTGAAAACCCCTGGAGGGTTACTGCAGGTAGAATAATAATACCTGTTCAGATCCTTAGGCAGGAACTCACTTCAAACTTTCTGAGGTATCCCTTTAATGTAAAGGAGGAACAATCAAACTGCTGTATTAGCCAATTCTCATAAACTTGAGTTTTGCTTCCTTGCACAAAACAACCTTTTTTTTTTTTTTTTTTCCTTTTGCACGGCTCACATCTTTCTCTGTCTGTGCCTTCTGAGGACATTTTTCACGATGTACTCGATAAAGACTTTCCCAAGGTACTCTCTGGTTTCCGTCAGACATGTTTCTGGTTTGTAAATGTACTTGAACAGTAATCATTTGTATTGATGTGCCACTTACCACTCTTTTTAAGACTGGTAGGAAAACACCGAATTTTCTACAGTTTTCTCAAAAGAAGAACCAGCTTGTTGCCTCGATGTTTTGTTGGATGTATAGCACAATGCTTTGTATGGTACTTAAACTGCCGCCTGTTTTGTCAGTGTAGTGATTTTTTTTTTAACTTGGTAGCTTTTTAAAGAAAAAATGTTTGTTAGTTTTTTTTCTGTTCACTTCTTTTCACTTTGCTTTAAATCGGCTTTTTGTATGGTCGTGAACTGTCTTCCTAGTTCAACTGTGAGCATTATGAGCAATATTAACTTATTCCAAATACTGGCTCATCGAATTTTTTAATACCTGCTTGTGCCATCCTCAGTTAGAGTAAAATCCAATACAACATCAAGCTGTAAAACTGAAGTCTGGTTGCTGTTAAACCTCTATTAGGGCTACTAATTGGGGTAACTATCTTTGCAATAAAAATGTTCAGGCTGTGATAATGCCTCATGAGATTTTTATCACTAGACAGTTGGGCTGCAAATAACTTTTTTATACTAATCGACTAATCTGTCGATTTTTATTTGGAATAATCAGTGACTCGTTCAATAGCTAAAGGGCTTCAATGAAGATGTGATATAGAATTTAAATAGGGTAAAGCTGAACAAAAGGGGGTTTTCATTTAAAATGCAGAATGTTAATATATTTTTTTGTACAATTTTGATTTATTACTCCTCTGAAAGTGTTGTTTTTGCAGCTAATAGCATTAAGGTCTCTATACTCAGGTTAACAACTAGGGGTGGGTATTGGCAAAGAAGTCATGATTCGATTCGAATCACGATTCATATGCCACGATGCGATTCTATCATGATGCATCATGATACTTGAAATATTGCGATGCATTGCGATATTTTCACGGAACACTGTAAGAAAAAGATACAGCCCTTACCAGTGGCTGACTGGCTGGGTGTGATCTGGATCGTGTCTTCAATTGATACATAATTGAAAGCAACTGAATTCATACATCGCTGTATTTATTGAAACAACTTTAGGAGGTGTTTCCATCAAAACAAATACTGGACACAAATATTACTATTACTGGCGTGGACACACTGACAAAAAGATCTTAGGATTCCTCAAACTTAAAATAACAAAATAAGGATAATTAGTACGTTTAGTCCTTTAAACCAATGAAATGAAAACATTAAAATGTATGACACATTTCCCCTTTTGCAAATGACGTGCGTCATATCAGTTTCATTTTTACCTTCTTTGTTTTTAAAGCCAAAATGCATCCAAGCATCTGACTTGAAATCTGATGGAACCGCGGGGCGAATTTTCAGTGTCCTCCATGTTTTATTTCATATGACTCGTCGCAGTATCCCATGGCTGGACATGCTTGTGACACAAGTCAGCGGGCGTCAACACATCCGCAGCGCCATCTGCTGGACTGGAAGTTGTATTCCACTTGGTTTGGCTGATGTGCGCCAGCCATTAATGTATTTTATTTGTTCATTTTTTTTTTTCTTAATAATCGATTCTTGCCTTGAAGAATCGATGCAGTAGATCACAAAAATTAGAATCGCGATGCATCTTCATGACGATTATTTTGCACACCCTTATTAACAACTGCTAAATGAGTTGCTGTTCTTTCACTTATTAATCACAGTTCATTGTTTTAGTCCTACTGGATAGCTTCAGCTTTCGCTGCCAAGGTCTTTGTCCCAATTGAAACCTGAAATACTGCTGCTGCGTTCTCAGTTACCCCAACCACACATTTATATTCAGTGTGAATTCATGATGCCTGGAGCTTCCAATCAGGACCCTTGCTGGTTGCATTAGTAATGTCTCACTGCATGCTACAAACAGCTCAGTACAGAAAGTCCTAGGAGGAGTTTATTGCTTTGCAAAGCCAAAAAAAATGCATCCAAAAAAAAGCAAAGGCCTCAAATGGTCCTATAGACGCAGCCTAAAGCAGAGCTCACTAGTTTTAAGTGGATGTGGCTACAGCACCTGCACTGGAAAAAATTGTCATTGTTTCTTAAAATCAGTGCATTTGTTCTTGGTTTTGAGGAGGTAAAAGAGACATTTTGCCAATGGAACAAGACAATTTACATTTAAAATAAGAAAACACAATTACATTGTCTTATGTGCATGTTATCTATCTTTTTTTAGGAGTAAAAATACTAATTCTATTGGCAAACGACCTCATTTACCTACTCAAATACTCAAAGGGTAAATACACTTTATTTAAGAAAGTTTTACTTATTTCTAGATTGTTTTTCCAGTGTGTTGGCGGGTAGGGGGAAACCATCAGCAACTGTCACCAGATTCCTACACTGGAAAAAAACAAAATCTAGATAAGTCATTTTTTTCTTAAAATAGCTGCATTTTTTCTTGGATTGAGGAGGTTAGAGAAACATTTTGCCAATGGAACAAGACAATTTAACTTTAAAATAAGAAAACACAATTGCATTGTCTTATTTCAAGTGCATATTATCTAATTATCCTATTTTAAGAGTTAAAATACTAAATTCATTGGCAAACTATCTCATTTACCTGCTCAAATTAATGGTAAATACACTTAATTTAAGACATTTTTACTTATGTCTAGGTCGTTTTTCCAGTGTAGAAGGCGGCTGGTAGGAAACCTTCGAATGACTGACAGCAGCGCTGAGGTTGCCACGATAAGAAACATGAAACATGAACTCAGTGTCTGAAATTTAAGCTTTGACAGGTAAAGATCCCAAACCACAAGGAAAGTCAGCTCAGCTTTGCCCAAAACTCCAGTAAATATGCCAAAGAAATTTCTAGATTCTGTTCCAAGGGTTTTTACAAATTATCTATTGATAAAGTAATTTTTATGAAAAAAAATGCTGAAGTCTTTGTACATTTTCTGCCAATTTTGATTTAGACATACATCAAATGTTAAGTAATGACTTTTATCGCCTAAAGATCTCCAAAGTATTTTCTTTCACTCAGTTTTCGTATTATATTTGTCTGAAATGGTCAACTTGAGATTTAATGCAGTAGATGGTTGATCAGCTGACACCCTGAAGAGAGCACGAGGAAGCTGGAAGTAATTAAAGCCTCAAACATGATTGTTTTATTCTGTTTGGACCGACTCAGTTTTATGTCAGAGTGGAAACGCGCTAAATCAAAATGACATGCATTTCCATTCTTCAGTGTAGAGATCAGAGGTAAAGAGAGAAGAAATGAAGTGTGCTCTGCTGCATAACAGCTAAAATTATGCTTTTCTATGTCCTAAAGATGGTTATTATTAAGTTGATAAATAATGCTGAGTCTGCTGTATCTAGGGATTTATGAGACAGCAATTATAGCTTTAAAAACATGAACTCTAGGATAGAAGCATGCTCCAAACTCCTGATTCTTTAAGAAAGTGTACGTCATGGTTCATTATTATGATTTCCTTCATTGTAAGTCATAAAGACCCAATTTTGCAGATTAAAACTCATATAATAAGTTTGGTTTCCCTCCAAATACAGAAGATTGTGGGGTTTTAAAAAGGCTCGTCTTAAACATTTTTCTAAAACATTGTAGAAGATTTTTTTGTTGGACATCCGAAATATTGTTTCATGTAAGACTGTAGAAGGTTTTCAACGTTTTAAGAGTGGTTTATAATAAGAGTGTCCATCGTTGAAGGAGCTGTGGGGGTTGAACACGGCTCAGGTGGAAGAATCTTTTAAAAGATTGATAAAAACGAAAAGCTCTTTTAGAGGACAGCCCTAAAAGTTTATTACAAGCCATGTAGGGTCACAGCAAAGGTGAGGAAGATGGTGGTGCTCTGGTCAGATCAGGTCAAAGTTAAACTTTGTATGGTGGAAAGTAAACATAACATGTCACCCTGTACACTACAGTCCTAGAGTTTAACATTGTAAACATGTAACTGTAGCATCAGGCCATGGCTGTTTTCCTCCAGTAGAGTCAATAAAGATGATCAGAGCTCATGAGAGGAGTAAAAACCTAAATCTAGTTGAAAGTCCTTGCAAGGGTCACGATTTCAAATATATATTTTGACCAATCTGGCCAAATATCCATTGTGAATAAAGAAAAGGCTACATTTTCAGTCTAGATTTGAAAAACTGTTAGAGACCTACTCTAAAAAGTTGTAGCTGTAATAACAGATAAGGACGGTTTGTACACGCTGTTGACTACAGGTTTTTATCTGCATGTCATCGCACATCACATTTTGGCAGTACATTGTTTTGGTCTTCCACATAAAAATTTCTCTAAAATTTCATTAATTTTGCCCTTAAAAAAAATACACATTCAAACAATTTAAATACAAAGCACTCTGAGGTTTTTTCACAGGGACGAAGAAAGGTGCAATCTGAAACGCAGAGCTGTGGTACATATAGCTCTTAAAATGATACCGGATTGCTTTAGTTTTGGATGTATGTTCAAAGATCAGAAAGCTGGAATAGCAGCACATCGAAGTGAAACCAGACCAAATGTGTTCCCTTAAACTAGTCAACTTAAATATACAGTCGACTTTAGAATCTAATTCCTTCCTTATTTAGATTGAAAGTCTTGTTCTAAGAGGGGTTCCTGAATGTACAAGTAAAATTAAAAGTTGATAGACAAGGACATTTTGAAAGATGTGGATTTTTAAGGACCATTAAAACACATAATCTCTTTTCAAGCGTAAATCAGCGATTATCTAAATAACCTTATTTCCCTCAGTGGAGTAATATGATTTTGGAATCACTTCTCGTTTTACTTAGACTGACTTAGACTTGGGCAAACTTTATTGTAATTCTGTATACACAGAGTGTATACAAAACGAAATTTCGTTGCATACATCTTTTCAACAGTGAATGAGCAGCTTAGCAGTGAAATGAACATTTATATTTATAAATGCAGCAGTGATCAAAATGATCAGGAGGAAGTTTTACTAATGCTGATAAAGATTCTCAGTCATCCAGTTTATAGTCATTCCATAAAAGTTCAAAGAAATCCACTGGACTTGGTTTTCAAGATTTGAAGATGTTTCGCCACCTCTCCAGGAACCTTTCTCACATTTAAATTGAGAAAGCTTCCTTGAGAGGTGGCGAAACGTCTTAAGGCCCATTCATACCTCACGTTTGGCCTGCACGTCCGTATTTCTGTCCGTACGTTCTATCCGTTGACTCCTTCATACCTCCGTCCGTTGAGGTGCGCAATAACCCGTATTTCCTCTAGGTGGCAGTGCTGGGCGCCAATGATTCGTCATTGATCAAAACATGGCGATGGTCCAAGACCTGATTCTGTTGCATTCTAACCTTCTTTGTGATTTTGTTGACATTTTGTACTAAAAACTCAATAGCGCCCCCACCGTTTCCGGTAGTATTGCTCCGTATTGATCCGTTTCGTCCGTAAGCGTAAGCTCCCAATTTTCGTGTCAAAGTACGGACGAAATCGACGGTTAGAACGTATGAAACACTCCACACGTATCCGTATCCGTCTTTTACGTGAGGTATGAATGGGCCTTTAACTTGAACTTTTACGGACAGGTTTACTAATGTTTTACCCACGGGGCGTGTTTTGTACAGTTAAATGGAACACAAAATGCTTTAGAAAGACTGGAATTAAAACTGACAAAAAAGTTAAAAAAGTAAAAAGTAAATAAATACAGCATGCAAACATCACAGAATAAGAGAGTTAATCAAATGACAGTAATTATATGACTAAAATAAAAGATGAAAAACACAAATGAAGAAACACAAAAGGAAAAAGCAAAAAAAAGGAAATGCGTAGATATGAACAATGTAACAACTCTAAAGTCCCAGACAACAAAAATGTTTCCAAAATCTGAGAAAGCACAAAAAAACAAAGATAAACACAATAAAATTAAAATAAATAAACTGAAACAAACAGAAAAATAACCAAAGGAATAAACCAAGATTGATAATAACAATAATGATAATTATTTGATAGAAGTGCTGAAATTCAAGAAAAGGAACTATGAAATTAATTTTGTTTCCCCTCGTGGTTTGGCGCCACCTACCGGTCACTTTAATCTTGCTCACCTGCCTGCCGCTCGGTGCCGCTCTGGGGTCAGCAGGCCGTCCGCGGCTTCAGCAAGGTAAGAAGTCAAATCAGGTGGAGACAGCTGTCAATATAAATCATCAATCTTTATTTTATCTCTTTGTTGGTTGTTTCCTATTGTTTAAGTCGCGCGATGGAGCTCAGTGAGCTGGTTATGGCGGTAACTGCCACAGTATACCGCGACTGACCGCCGCCGGTTAATTAGAGGCTAAGGTTAGCTGCTAATGGAGGCGTTAATTAGAGGCTAAGGTTAGCTGCTAATGGAGGCTACTGACATCGGCAGGTCGGGGTCACTCTGAAATAAACTCAACTTCTATTCATTTAAAATTAAAGTGCAGTTTTTTCACAGATAAAACTGAGGTAAAGAGTTTTTTTTTTAACTTCTAGTTCGACCGATACGATAAATATGAACATCATTACATTTTTGACCTGATTGATAAAATATGGCAGGCCGTTTTGACATTTATTAGAAGTGCTGTCCTCTCTTTTGTTTCATTTGTAGATCTCAAAAATAAGATTCTTCCTGGTCAAAACTACATTTTTACTTGTCAGAGCTTAACAGCTTATCCTAAATTACATTGTTTGCCAGCAACAATTACATTTCAGGATGCAAAAAATATAATTGTACTAGTAAGAATAAACTTTCAGATACATCTTTGCAAGTTTTAGGTGGCCATTTTGACATTTATTAGCTTGACTAAATATATATTTCAGATGTCTCAAAAGCATTTATTTCTAGTCAAAATGAACATTTCAAATATGTAAAATAACCTTTTTTCCTATCTAAAATAAACATTTAAGATATCTTAAATGTAATTCTTATTAGTGCAAATGACGTCAAGGTTCTCATTCATGTGTATTGGGCTTTTACTTCCAGACATCTAAAATAAACATTCTTCCTACCTAAAACCGAATTCTGATGAGGATGAAATCTGATCTCAGATCTCAATAATAAAGTTACTGCTAGTCACAATTACAATTTCAGATATCAAAAATGAATCAATTGAGTCAATTATTGACATCAAAAATCTATTTTTACTAACAGAAATATAATTGCTGATATCAACTCTTGATATATGACTAGTTGAATTGGAATTTCAGATATCTACATTTTAATAATGCCTATCCAAATGCAGTTTTTATTAGATTTTATTTATTTTATTTTGACTAACATTGAAAAAAATAATAGGCCTGGTTTCAACATAAAATAGTCAGGCTGACTTGTCCCCTTTCTATCAGAGATGGCACTAAAGCTTTCTACCTTGTCACAATTACAATTTTCCTAGTCAGAATTTTATTATAGATATCACTAATTACTTTTCCACCAGTAGAAATTGAATTTTAGGTAACCTGTAATCTAATTTGTACTAGTAAAAACTAAATTCCAGATATCTACAAATCTTTAATTTATTTAAGTGGCCGTTTTAACATATATTTGCTTTACTGGATATGTATTCAGATATCGTTAATAGTACTCCCCCTATCTAAAATGAACATTTTAGATTTCTGAAATGTAATTCTTACTATTACAAATGACATTACTTTTCCCCATTCATGTGGATTTGGCCGTTACTTTCAGCTATCCGAAATTACATTTAAAATAAACATTCTGGATGTCTAAAAATGAGTTGCAGATCTCTGTTATCCAGATATGATGAATGAAGAAAACATTGCAGATATCTAAATAATTTTTAATCAAGATAGAGTAGCTGCTAAAATGTTTATGGGTGTTATGCATGCTGTGTAATGAGCCCTTTAACTGTGACAGGTGACGCCATGCCTCATTGTAAGTTCAGCTACGAGTACATGCGGAGGGAAGCTCATCACAACGCCGCCAAGGCCGAGGATGTGCTCAATGCTCACATTCCTGACGCAGGTTGGATTAACAGGTCTGACCCACAACATGGAGCCAATGAGAACACCAAGGTCGGCCCGGTGGACCGCCCAGATCCACCACAAGTAATCAGCAGTTATTTTAACTGTGGCCACAATGACAACGGGACTAAAGTGGTGTCTGCAAAGAACGCCCTATTTTCCCCACTCACTGATGGTACCCCGGCTGGAAGGCTCAGAGGTGCAGATGTTCCGGGCAGCGCCAAGGCCGACGGTGATGCCAGGTTGGGTGCCGTCGCTCCATTCTGTAACTCTGAACAATCAGCTCAACATCCTGCATCCAACAAGAAAAAAAGAAGAAATAAATATTTCAGGAACAAGAAGAAAAGGTGAGCCATCTGCATCCTTAATTGCTGTAGCGCACATTTATCGCTGAGTCTTTTAGTCCAGTCTCCAAAACAGCCTGCGACCCAAAAAATGACATTGCAACAGAATGGTGTCCCCTAAAAAAAAGATAACTACTTCCCTTTATATTTATTTATACATATAAATTTACTATATTAATTCTTAATTGTAATAGTTTTTTTTTTTTTTTTTATAAAATTAGGTGCAGATGAATGCAGAATCAGTGAGAAAGAAGCACTTTAAACTGAGCCAGGAGGACTTTGTCTTCTACAAAAATGGCAGCGACAGTTTAATGAATGATGTCATTATTCGTGGCTATGTGAAATGAAGGGGGAAAAAAGATGTTTAAACCTGTTTTTCCTTTAAAGTGCATAGTGCTCTCACAGTTTCCAGTTTTACCTGATAACAGAATTCGGTTCCATTGGATTTAAATTCCTCTGCTCCTCTGACTGAAGATTTTCTAGGATTATTGTGGCAGAAAAATGTTTTACCTCCATAATCTGACCTTTAAAGAGAGCATAGATTATTATTTAATCTAATAGCATCTTTAATTTTGATTTTTTTTTTATAGAGTTAAGGACACAGCCAATCCAAGGAGAGATACTCCACCCCCGATGCTGCTGAAGGAGGAGGAGGACTGGGAGGAAGAGTATATAGTGACCACACCTTATGGTAAAACAGCAGACTTGTTATAAACTTTAGAATCCAGGCCTACATCACTACTGATTGTTCACAGGGAATAAAGAAAGTGTGGCTTTAAGTCAAAGGAGTCACCACCCGGCTACATGCAACACTGGTTATGGGATTATATTTTGCAAAGAATAGTATGCAAAGGTAGGCTTCCTTTAGGGTATTTGTCCCTCTTAATTTGTAGCGTACCTTCTGAAGCAGAGCGGAGCCTTTTTACTCAATGCCATGTTTCCTACACTTTCTGGATAGAATGAAAAGCACTTAAATCTCAATCTGCCAGACTTATCAATTATTTTAAGTGTAATTGTGTTTATTTTAGTTCATTTAGGATAATTTTTTTATGATAAAACCTACAAACTGAAAGATGGAATATGAAATTGAATCGTTCTGCTCACAAAATTGAAAAAATCACTACTTCCATGTAGGGTTGGGCGATGTATCGAATATACTCGATGTGTCTGGAGTTTCCCCACACTCGATAGTTAAAATGACTCTATCCTAACCGTCACGTACAAATTTACATTAAGGCGTCTGGATCTATTTCACTGCGAGTTTAATTTTTCCCACACACTTTCATGCATCATAAACCCCTTCCTACAAGCAGTATTATTTTCTGCACAGCACACACACACTACAGCAACCGGAAAATGAAATATGGTGACAGCAGGTGTTTCAGCTAAGCAATATATGGCAGTGGTTTGGATTTCACACCGTGGAAGTTCGAACAAAAGGCGCTAATTTGTAAGACGTGTCACAAAATATTGCTGCAAAAGGTAGGAATACAAATTTATTCTTCCGCCTAAAAAGTCATCCACTGCAATAGTGAAGAATGTTGTAAACTTCGCATATCAGCACTAGGGCTGGGTATTGTTCAAAAATTTTCGGTTCCGGTACCGATACCGATACCTTCACTTCGATACCGGTTCCTGAACGATACTTTTTTCGATACCAGTTTTATAATATCAATTCGAAGAAAAAGAAAATTACACAACATAAAAAAGTACAAATCTTGAGTTTTATTTTACGCTCTGATTTTTCCATTTACATTTTTCCTCTTACATTAAAAAAAAAAAAAAATCAGTGTCTAATATTCACTGTTACATTGGGAGGACCTTTTTACTTAGCAGTTTTCCTTTAGAAAAATTAACATGTCTGCTTTATCAGGAGACAAACAAGCCCGTTGAATGGGATCCTGTTGACAGCGCACCGCTGGTATGTGGGGGTCTGAGCGGCTCTGACAGAAATATTGGAAGGCAGGATGAACTGACTGCACTGATTAAGTTTTCAGGTGGATTTTCCCACTTAAAAACATGATAAAACTACTTTATTCCCACTGATCACAGTAAATATAGCTGCAAGGCAGAGAAAGGAGAATAGCTCCGCTCAACGCGCGTCAGAGCCACTTTTGCACCGCGCAGCCAGAGCAGCAAAGCTGCTTCAGCCGCGCGTCAGAACTAACTGGTACAAGCAGCAAAAACGAAGCAGCAGACGCAATTTTGCTGCTCTTGCTGCGTCCGGTGTGAAAGCAGCATGATTCACTCCGCTCTGGCTTTGCTCTGCCCACGGGCTGCTGAGAGCGCCGGCTGCGGTCCGCTCTTCTTGCAGTCAAACACCGAGCAACTTTCTGCTCTTAAATTATTTCCGTGCACGATGTATTGCATTGCGCACTGTTCGCATTAGTCTTAATAAAGTGAAGCCGCACTTTTGACCTGGGGGGCATTTTAAAGGGGTTCCATGACGCTGCAACCAGTTCACAACAGATACACATGAACCCTGGCTGTAGGCGGGACCACCTGTGTATTTTTCCTGGATGACGCAATCACGTTAGGTGTTACAGCCAATCACCGAAACTTGGTACCGAAAGACGAGGCATGTTTCGATACTCTGTAGAACCGAAGCATTTTCGGTCGGTACCATCAAAGAACCGATGTACGGTACCCAGCCCTAATCAGCACTTAGAGCTGGGGGAAAAACCCGATTTTTTTTTTACCGTTATCGTCATTCACTACGATAACCTGCGACAAATTTCCCATTTCAATAAAAGAAATAAACTTAATTTTGCCGTTCTGCCTGTGTGCGCTGGTGGCTCATTCCTTCCCCTTTTAAGACGTAGGGAAACGGCTGTTCCAACCTTTGCATTTCTGAATACTGAATAATGAATATAGTAAATTTGATTGATTGTTTATCATGAGGGCGGGGTTGTTGTGGCGGAAAGTTCGCAAGCAAGTTTGATTGTGGCCGGTGTCTTGGAAGCATCTTGCTAACCAGTTAGTAACCTAGTGCTAGTAGGCATTTTTTTAGTAAAGTACAATGTATGGCCGTACGCATACGCTTGAAGACTCAGCCTAGCACAAATAGTTACCTGATTCCAGTCAGAATCTGGTAAAGGAAATATTAAAATTGTCTTATACAACATCAGTACCTCGAGCATTAGACAGCAGATATGTTACATGTGTTTAAATACGTTCTTGAACAGTAAAGCTCCATGTGAAAATGTAACTCGAAGTAAGAAAGTTCATAAGATATTAGAGTTCATAGGGTTGATATTTATATACTGATTGAAAATAAGTATGTGACACAAATAGGGTTGGGAATTGAAAAGATTTTCACGATTCCGATTCCCTTTTCGATTCTATGAAACGATTCGATTCTTAATCGATTCTTTTTTCGATTCCAATTTGGGGGAAAAAGGAGAACAAACAGTTTGATTATCAGAATCAACTTTGTTTACTTAACTATTGCACAATCTTACAAACTCAACAAGATCAAGATGTCCACAGGAAATGTGAAACTGGAGTAACATCTGTGTTTAAATGAAAAATGAATACAAGAACAAACTTAATAACCAACAATGTCTATTAAAAAATGATGGGATAATAACCTATTTTAAATAACAAAAAATACTAATTATAAAACAGTAGTAGGGAAATTAACAGTTCTTTTGCAGAAAGATGAGCATATCTGCTTTTTCTGGAAGGATACGGGATCTTTCAGGGCTTAAGGTGTCTCTAGCCGTGGAGAACACCCTCTCAGATGGGGTGGAGGAAGCCTGCACACAGAGGTAGTTTTCAGCCAGTCCAGATAGCAAGGGCAGCGTATCTTGCTTGTTCCACCACCACAGTGTGGCGCTATCCCTGCAGGGGATGGAGGGCAAGCTTTTATAGAGCTGGATTTCCTGATCTACCCTCTGGGCTAAGGAAAGACGGGGCTTTGATTCACAAAGTGACCGCAGCTCGTTGTCTTCCTCCTCGAATAGTTCTTCCAACTTGCGTAACTTGCGTAAGTTGCGTAACTTACGTAAAAAACGTGACGTAAGTCGTGCTCCCCAGAGCCGGCGCTCTCGGCTCTGGTGCTGCGGGAATCGAAAAAAGAATCGTTCAGTGAGCTGCCAAACGATGCCATGGAATCGGAAAATACGGAACCGGTTCTGAACAGGAACCGGTTTTCGATTCCCATCCCTAGACACAAAGTTAGATGTTGGAGGAATAAAATTTAGACCATTTCATCCAGACAGAACTCCTGTCAGCCAGCTAATTTATGATCCAGGAATAGTTGATCGATCAGAAGCGGAATCAAAAAAACAAAATTGTTCAAAGACGAACAATGCCCAGTGCTACTAATCAGTCATAATGTTATGATTGCTTTAACATAACTCTCATCGTGCGTCAGTATTCTGCAATGTTTTGGAAGAGAAAGTCCCACTTTGTCAGTGTGTCGTCCTCCATTGTGTCCGACCTTGCCTTAATGGGTGTACGGTGGCCTGTTTGAATGACACTACATGGATGATAAGGCATGTGTGGTTATAGTTTGTAACCTCGATGCTTTAGCTGATCAGTAAAGACAAACGCTGTTGAAATAATGAGATCATAACCTTCTAATCAGGGCTGACTGGATCCCTGCTCCTTCCACAGGTCCAGAAGACATGCTCCACTTCGCTCTGCACGACCTGATACTTTATTACAGCGACCCGGCCGACCTGCCAGCGACGGCTACTTACCGCCCTGCAGTGCACCACCCACCCCGTATGCCCTGGTGCTGCAGCAACGCTCCGGTTGAACCGCTGCAGTTTGCAGACGCTGAGGAGTAAGCCAGCTCTTTCAGACGATATAACGGATGTTCAGGAAAACCTTGTTGCTTTACAGAGAATTTGTCACATAGGCTGAGTTTTTTTTATTCTAAAAGTTGGGCCTCAGTTTTATAAATGAAAAGGTAAGTATTCGAGCACCTAACATGTTTATTGTCTTAAAGGTCATAAGTTGTAAAACAGCATCTAAGTTTTATCATAGAATTTATTTGACCGTTTTAATTCTTTATGTTTATTTCCTTCTGGTGTTTGATGTCTAGCAGACTTTTCTTGCTCTGCCGTACTTTGTTTATGTATTTTTAATATGATTTTAATTGGTTTGTATGAAACACCCAAAATCGGACGAGCATTGTTGAAGATGGCTGTTTGGAGAAGAATGATCAGTTGTATTGTTTATAAAATAGCACATGTTCATTGAACCCACATATAAAGTTTGTATCTTAATTTAACAGCCACAGGAGCGTCAATGTTACAGCAGTAATGCATTTTAGAGCATTTCTGCTTATCTGTAAGATGCTTTTCATTTCTGGGACACAATAAATCCGATTCTCTTAAAACCTTTTTCTGTCTCTTTTGTCTTCACACAGTTTTTTATTTTTATTTTTTATGGTTATAAGCAGAGTTTCCTCCTCGTTGTGATCAAATATGTTACACAATTGGACACAAACATTTAAAATGTGAACAGAATCGTCGGGCTTCTTAAACTTCTCTTCTTTTTCCCAGATGTTGCTGCGGTGTGCTGAAACTCATGTTGAAAGGCTTTTATTGTGAAATTTCATATGTTTGCGTAAAGCATCTTTCTTTTTGGTTTTACCACTATGAGCCTTTTTGGTCGTGGTTGATTTATCAGTACAGAAGATCAATGTTTTGATCTTTAACCTGTTTGGTTTAGTTCTGACTTTAGACATGAAGCTTGATCATGTGTTTTTTTTTTTTTTTTTTTATCCACTAAACTGCTGATTGAGCTCCACATATAACAGGTTTAGGAAGCTCAAGGGACAAGATGATGCAGAACCAATAGTGTCAACCTTTTCCTCATACAATCCTGTGTCCAGGTGTCCCAAACATTCTAATCTTTACCCAGGTCCCATCCAGTCCAGTTCTTGCATGTGCTGCAAAATATCAGTTTGTTCTCAATGTTTTTTCCTAAATGAAGCCCTGCTTAATACAAGGACAACTTCTAATAGTCTCCACCTCAAATATGTCTATCATTTCCCAGCAAGCTCTGCACTGGAGGCAACTTGACCCTTAAATGTAGATCGTCTTTAGAAGACATTAGTTCGACTTTAATCAGATCTCTCTTCAAATCAACCTAGACATGAAGGAAGCTTTAATCTGCAGAAAATAAGAATCATATCTGTTTCAAAGCTTTTTGCCCCAACTGTTAGTGAACAAAGGACTGGTTAAGTTTTTTTTTTTTTTTTAGAATCTTTATTTCATTAATTGTATTCAAACAAAACAATTGAACTTAAAAACAATCCTGAATGAAAGGAAGCAGAAGGAACAATCTTATCATATCTGCTCTCTTTACCTAAAGCTTCAAAATGAACAGAAATCTGTCCTCCAAAACTGAAATACACATTTTAACATTTGACATCCATCCATTTTCTGACATGCTTCTCCCTGCTGGGGTCGTGAGGGGTGTTGGTGCCTATCTCCAGCTGTCTACGGGTGAGAGGCGGGGTCCACCCTGGACAGGTCACACATGATCACACCGAAGGAGAATTCAGAGTAGACAATTAACCTAACAGGCATGTTTTTTGGGGGGGGGACTTGGGGAGGAAGCTGGAGTACCTGGAGAGAACCCACACATGCTCAGGGAGAACATGCAACCTCCATGCCAAAAGACCCCAGGTTGGAAATCAAACCCGGAACCAGGCAGCAGTGCTATCCACTGTTCCACTGAGCATATTTGACATGATTATTTAGAATCAAGCATTACTGGCATACTTATATCAGCCTAAATTAACCTTTTAAATGCAATTTGGATTGTGATTCTTTGGTCTCTTTGCTTAGATTGTTTCGCAGTTACATGTTGAAACACAGGGCTTCATCATTTTAGTTTTATTTTATTTTTTTTTTCAAGATCTTAGTTCCTTTATTAATTGGTAATGCGTTTGTATCTGCTTTAAACATGGTAAAATTCTATAGTTTACTAATTCATTACATTTCAACTGGAGAAATTCTGGATTTCTTGCCTCTTTATTGTTTTTCTAATTTTATGAACCGTTCAAAAGCGATTGCTTTAACTGTCCACTAGATGGTGCTATTGGTGCGCGATTAGGTCGTTCTGAGACGCTTCATGCACCTTGGGGAGTTCAACGGGTTCATTCTTACAGGTTTGAGAGGCACAGGCTTCTGCTCGCTCAGCTCCAGCTTCCCTTCCCTCTTCTTTAATTCACATCACAACTTACAGTGGGATTTCTCCAGAGCTGATCAAGGCAGTCTCATGATTGTAAATCAATAACCTTCACAGACAGCCTGTGACGACTGGTTTCAAACTGCGGTTTCTCCTCCACCACTGTATGCAGGCTCAGAATTTTAAGCAGCTTTGTTGTTGAAGTATGGAGAGAAAAACTGCAGCATTAAATCTGTCCTTATCAAAGAGCCACAGCTGCTTTTGATCTACTCCACCCTTTAACATGGATTCAACATTGATAGATGCTATGAAGATGATATCTAACAATATTTGCATAACTAATTTGACAGAGAGGTGTTCCTATAGAAAGAGGGCTGGAGTCTTATAGAGCTGCTCATGTTAGCCTCATGCTATAACCTGCAGATATTAGGGAGTCTAATGCCTAATGTACTGCATTATGATATAGTCTACCTTTGGGTAGTTTGCTGATTTGTGATTTAATTGTGGAAAAAACAACAAAGAAACTGTACAGGACCTTGCTAAGGCTTTTGTGCTGTTTTACATTCTTCAGTTGAATTTATGTGTGGCTTGATGCCATTGTGGTTCTATTGTGGCTGTATATTTATTGGTTTTCTTCCTGCTCTGATTTTATTTTGTCTGTTTTGCCGTCTTCAACTGGCTTTCTTCCATACTTTATGATTGTCTGTAAAGGTCAGGGGAGGCTGGTGTATTTAGGTGGAGCACATTTTGAAAGTAGGTTAAAAAAAAAAGCCAGTTTTTAGTCTCATATGAGCTTTCTTTTTCATTTCTTTTCAATTGGTTAGTGCCAATTATCATGACATGAAATGATTAAAGGAGTAATAACACTGCTTTTGCCATCAAGTTCTCTCATTAGAGCAGTGGAATCTCTGCAGCTCTGCAGAGTTAGCTGTGACCCGGGTGTTAGTAGGTCTGGAGTGATATGAAAACCAAATCCAGAGCAACCAAAAGGTTAACTCTGCATTGATCACATTGGAGTGAAAGGGCTAAATAGAAATTGATCGCACACCTTTTATTTGATATGCTAAAAACATACTTCTATGTAACAAAACTCTATTTTCTGTTGGTCTAAAACTTTGTATGTCATTTTAAAAACAAAGAAAAAACACGAGCATGTAATGTGAACAGATTTTAAAAGAGTAAAGGTGCTAAATACTTTTGTAAGGCTTTGTGGTGATGGAACTGAAAGAGGATTTGTCTTGTCCATTTGTGTCACCGAGGTCTCACATTGCTAACTGTGTGCTGAAACTGGTGGCACAAAATAGCAGATAGAAGGTCGTCCTGGAAATGGGTCCCGCCCTTAAATCTTTTACTAATTCGCTGTACGGGAATTACTAAATACTAACACCGAAAAATGATTCACAATATACTACAAATAAATAATATATATCACTGAACTTTATTGATCTCATATTGGAGAAATTTATCTCTGCATTTAACCCATCCCCTTTGGGAGCAGTGGGCTGCCATTGTGTGGC